ATGCAGTATAGCTAGCTACAGTCACTGCATAAGACATGAATTCATACCAGAGTCATTAAGGAGAGATCTTGGTAATCTCTAAAGGGAGGGCGTATGAATGAAAGTGACCTTTGTAAACACAAATTAAGTTTGGTCATGATCATTCTGCATTCTAGTCTTGACGGAAGTCTCATGTGATCTTGAGAGCTTGTATGTGTAATTGTAAAGACCTTGAAATATAGAAATGTTCAATAAGTCTTGATAGTTCCATGCATGTTCTTTTGATTGACAGTGACTTGATTAGGAATTATAGTTGAATTGAATTCCATAGGCCTTACAGTAATTGATATTGAGTTCTTGATGATCATTAGACCAAGTGGGAGAATGTTAGACGTGTAGAGATGTCTAACCCATTAAAGTGTGGTCTTATAATCATCAAAGGATTCTAAGACTTGATATCAATTAGGAGTTCAAATACAACTAAACCTGCAGCTCTATTAAAGTTAGTGTTCTAAGGCTAATATAAGAGCTAGAAGGATTCCTATCTTAATTGTGGATTAGAAGTTATAAACCTAATGCAATAAGGACTTCTTAAGAGTTTCTTGATGGGCAAGACTCTTAGGAAGATGCATATAAATACAAGTGCCCCTGCTCAACCGATCAAGCCAACCCACACAAAAGAATTCACCCCATCTAGAATGAGTGTATGAAGGGATCGGATTGAGGAGAAGAGCTCTTATGTATATTCTTGATAATTCAACAGTCTCTACGACATACCAAAGATATGTGTTCTACTTATGTGCAGTCAATAAAGTCTACAGATTGAACTCAAACATTGATTTGGCCAAATGGCATAACCCAAATTTGCCAAATATTCGGACATTGAGTCCTACCATTCTTTCTCCGCATTTGAACTTGGATAGGTCTGTTGTTTATGCGCTTTCTCAACATTTGAATTAGAGGCTCGTTGATCCAGGAGGATCTTGCAAACAAATAATTATATACTTATCATTAGTTAATTATTTTAAAACCATAAATAATTTGTAATTTAAAACAATGAAATAGACAAGCAGATAAACCCTATTTGATGAATGAAATAGACAAGCAGAACTCAAAGCAATTACTTAGCTTCTTCCTTTTGTTTATCTAATTGCTTTAAAATTCCTCGATTCTAAGGACAAACATCTTCTCCATAAAATCACTTAAAACCACCCATCTAAAAAATTCCTCGATTCTAAGGACAAACATCTTCTCCATAAAATCACTTAAAACCACCCATCTAACATGGATTTCTTGATATGTTACACAACTAATTTTCTGAGGCAAGTCTTATTTAAAAGATCTGTGGTTATAGCAGAATCTCCAAGTTTTGATCGCAACACCACGACATAACCATTAAATTGGTCTTTCCTTCGTTCTTTTGAATTTTGCACGAGTGGCAAGGCAATTATATATGACGGCACAAATAACTCAAGCAACAGTGGTACGAAGATAATGTAAGACAACAAAACTTTCTAGCATTAAGTCTCCAAAAAGTGAATAAAATTTTCAACATCACAAGTCTCGAACCTTAACGGAAAACTGTGTTCAACTTAATAGAGGAATAATATCAGATCCCCTCTACCGACAACACAAAAAACCTTGAACCACTGGAATGAGTAAATACTCTGCAAATCTAATTCATTCTTCTAATAAGCTCATTGATGTAATTCTCACGGTTTCCGGCATCTCCACCTTCAACATAGTGGTTCCTCTTCTTCTTAAGACCACCCAGTGGTGCCTTCAGCTTGAATGGCCATAGAAAGTTGTTTGCTTCCTTAAAGTGAGGTCCCACTGTCAAGATCTCATGAATAAGATCTTCCGTGCAGATAATGCCGTGCTTGCCCAAAGCCTGTGAGAAAATTAGAACATGTTAAAAAGATGCAGCAAATGTTTTTTAAACCTTGTACACTGCACTAGCAATCAGCCACAAACCTGCTCGACAATAGAGTTGTCAGTCAAGGCAGTTCTCTGCTTGTTAAGCTTCCCATAACCTCTCTTGTATATCAGCTCTTTTACACTCTTCAAGTTGGGATACCTGAAATTTGGCACCTCCAATTAATCATAACATTCTAGGCATATCTACAGGTAATAGAAAAATATAAAGACGTTCCTACCCATAAGTGACATAAGGTTCAACCCTGTGAAGCATGTTGAGGGTGGCCTTGTTAACTTTCAGGAAGACACCATTAAAGATCTGTTTCAGAACAGAACAGAATAAAACAAAAAATAAAAAAATGTAACAAAAACGTTAAATTTAGAAGATGATTCATATACAGGCTCACATACAAAATGAACTGAACCACACCGTGCTACAATTTCAACAGTCCAAGGGATACACCGTCGAACATGAAAATTAGTTACTGTGACTAAAACCCCTAAAATGTTTAAGACATCATCTACTGCTAATGAACAAACCAACGACAAAAAGAAATGCTACAGTTGATACAAAGGAGAAATACCAGACAACCACAAATAAGGCAAAGCAATGACAACAAGACCTTCATAAGAAGGCAAGCATTAGTACAACTAGGTGAAAGGGTTTAGTGCGCTACCTGTCTCAAACGCAAGAGTTGCAAAATCTTCTTGGTCTTTGGGTCAATTGCATTGATACTGAAAATTCACAGATTAAACGTATAAGAGAAAGAACACTATCTTTGGAGTTATGTTTCAAATTAAATACAAATAAGGACATACCCACGAATTCGAATGATGAACAACAGCTTAGCCTCTGGATCAACGTAAAATCCACCTTTCAACTTAGCCTCACGCTTCAACCGGATCAACTCCTTTTCCTGTATAGATTAAACAAATTATTGTTAACAATAAATAAAAACATCAGCCCAAGATGACAAACATTAAAGGTTACTAAAATATATCAAATTCCAACACGTACCTGCTCCTTGTACTCCTCAGAATATTGCTTTGCTCGGTTGTAAATTAGCTTCCGATTCTCAGCATTCTTTTTCTTGGCAGCTTCAAGCCCCTGTTTCTTTGCCAAAGCCCACTCCTCTTCTCTCTTCCTCTTTTTCAACACTGACTCTGGAACCACTACCTTGACTTCTTCACCCATCTCTATAAAATTGAAAAGTGAAGAACAGTTGGAGAACAAGCACATACAATAAAAACAAAATTTAACAGCAGATATAAAAATATTGCCTGAGAAACACATTTGTATCCCACAAAATAAAAGTGCACTACTACTTCAATTTAATAAAACAATGGAAACTGAGATAAATTCAACCAAACTCAGACCAAGTCATAAATATCGAAAAATTTGATATGAGGCATATATTTAAAAATCATAATTACAATTAAAAAAAACCAGCCATATGAAAAGTACAAATGAGAAGAAATTAAAATAGCCGATTCCAGGGCTCTACCAATGACATTGCAACCCTAATTTTCTCAAAAACTAACATTAACAACGAGTACACTCTAAAAAAAATACCCAAACTTACAAGGCTCAAAAAACTATTGTGCACATTTTCCTAACTGTACCAGTAACAAAGTGAGAAAGAAGAATTCCAGCTGAAACACAAAGCAATGAAAATATGCACATAAACTTCACTGTTTTCCTGAAGATATCAGCAAACACCTTTATGTTTTAGATTAAAAAAACAAATAACCATCAAAACCAAATGCTCTTGATTCAAAGTGATCCCTTCTCCGGCTGTCAAACACAGCTACGCAAACCAACCTAGCAAAATGCTATTCTATGCTCCGTTTTCTCAGAAACCAAATCAAAATTAAGTAACAGTATACAGAAGCAACAAAAATAGTATTCAAAATTACGAAAATAAATCACCAAATCACTCGTTTGATGCCCTAAATTTGCAGATCGAATGGCATGGACTCGAAATGTAAACGAAAATGAAGACTGGGATCCGGAAGCTACTCACCGAGTTGATGCCTCTGTGCTTTGGAGGAAGCTGGCTAGGGTTCGGGTTCTCGGCGGGCTACTAAGGAGAAGGTCGGGAGTGAAAGTTTAGGGTTTTATAGGATTTATATGTGCTTCGTGATGACACGGTGGACGGCTTTGATTTGCTGAAGGATTTAGATAGATCTCATCCGTTGATTTTAAAGGTTATCATGGGCTGGAAACTGGGTTGGGATATTTCAGTCCACTCGAAACTAAAATGAATTGGGCTGACCCATTTCGGGAAGATTTGGGATAATTATTTTACCCGAAATTTAATTACGATTTGGGCTTCTATTTAGCGACCCAAATGATCTTTGTTTTTGGGTCGAAGACCGAAATGATCTTCCTATTTTTGTCGAAGACCGAAATGATAGCCAAGGACTTGGTTTCAAACTTGCAAAATTTTTTGAAGGCAACATAGTAAATGCCCAATTGTCAGAAGGAGGCTCCAAAAGAAAGCCCAGAAAATAGTATGAAAGATTGGTTTGATGGAAATTTGGCCCAAAGATTGATGCTCACACGATTGAACAATCTAGAATGAGGAGGTTGAGTGAGGAGGTTATTTGAGGAGGTGAAATCTCACCATCAACAACAAAAAACAAAGCACATGAGGGGGGTGCATTGGGGGGTCCACACCCCTTTTGATGGTGAGATGGGCCTCCTCAAATAACATCCTCATTATAGAAGCTCCCTTCTACGGAAAGTGAGGACCTTATAAGGCCCTTAAATGAGGCCCTATCTTTTAATTGTTGATTCAAATTGGTTAACCATTAGATCAAATTAATTAGTTTGATCTACCGGTTAAGAGATATGAGTATGACCTTATATAAGGGCCTTATAGAATGACTCCATGTTTGAATGGAATAATCAACAAAGACGTAGAGTTTCAAGTTCGAAGAAATCAAGTTCAAATGGGCTCAAACTTGTATTGAATTGAATGGCTCAAATCTCATATTTAGAGTTTCAAAATGGACCTATAAGAGGTTCATGGTCCTAGGAGATGATACAATGGAGGGGTGGAATGAAGGGTTCAATCTAATCATCCAATTATTAAACAAATTTAAGTCCAATATTTTCTCTTTCTTATTGAATAGTGGGATTGAACCCCTGTCACAACCCCCTCGTTATAGCATTTCCATATAGTCCCCTAATCTAATTGCATAGTATCAAGTTCTGAGTCAACTTGCAACCCCTCACTATAGCCCCTCAATACGGTATTTCAAGCTAGAGATTCCTAATACTTGGCCAGCATGATTTCAGTGTACCCCACACCATAGTATCTCTATGGTGGATTTCATTTTCAATTTACCAAATGGTTTATACATTATCTGTGTATTCATCAACATTTTTAAGATTCCAAACACTTTTGAGAAAATGCATCTACGGTCAGGGGCGGAGCTATTCACATACCTGAAGTGGCCTTGGCCACCCTTCCATCTTCTCATCTCCTTTACTATATAGAGAGTATATGTAGAGAAAAAATCCCATAATTTTAAGCTTGTGGCCCCCTCAAACAACAAACTCTACCTCCGCCACTATTTACGGTCTACCTCGTGTTGTATATATTCTAGTGATTGTAGAATGGTCTAACAGAAAAGAGAACATGTATTGCATTTGTGTTGGAAAGTTGGACGGATGGAGAAAGTTTTGTATTGCATTTGTCAAAAGAGAAGTTCAAATTGTCTTGATATTTCTTTTTAGTCATGCATGCACTTCATATGTAAATTCGACAATGAAAAAGCAAAACTAATTTATTTGAGGGACTTTCTGGGATCCACTATGAATTGAGTGAATACCTGTTAAAAAAGGGTTCAGGTCATTGAATTCAGAGGGTGGGAGATGAAAGGATTGATGCAAAATCGAAAAGATTGAAACAAAAGGCATCATTGTTCCAAATTGATCTTCAAATAAATAATAATAAACGACAATGAATAAGATCGAGATAAATAGAGGGAAATTCAAATTTGGAACCTAACTAACTACTAACATTAATTATTATTATTATTATTATTAAAACAACACAACTACATAAAATCAACACAAACAAAACGGGAACAAGACACCCCAATAAATTCATCAATAACTAATGAACCTATACAACTTGGAGCAAAATCAAAATAACACACGTCAAGACCCACGCTATAGCTCCAGTTAGCTAATCCGTATGCGACACAATTCTTTTCTATGTAGATATGCATAATTGCACAACTATCAAACTGATTCATGAGTTTACCACAACTAGCCACAATACTAGCAAGCGGATATTGTCAATATGTAGAGCACATATTATATTTAAAACATAATTTTTATTATCCTTAAGCAAGAGTATGGATTTATATGATTTTTAAAAAAAATAGAAGTGATAATGTAAACAGGAACGAAGCTAGAATTGTAGGATTTGGGGGGTCGAGATAGAAAACACAAGCATATCAAATACATATAAGTGTTCAAAACACATGTTAGAACTAAAATTTTCAAAATTAATCATGTTTAATTATTTTTAGAGGGGCCATTAATTTAAATTACAAGTTATCAATTAATAAGTTGTATATATTACATTATATAATATAGGAGATAGGTCAAAAAAAATTGGGGGGGTCAGGGCCACTCCTAGTCTAGGAGTGGCTCAGCCATTGAATGTAAATCACTATAAATTAATCTGATTACTAGAAAGAGAATTCAAACTTAACTGCAAAGATAGTGGGTTCACTATCCTTACCAACTATCCTAATCCATGTGAGCAATTTAGGTTGTTAATTACCAAATATTTGTAAGTGGTGGGTGGCATGAATGGAATTTAGATATATAATATTCTTTAGTTCCTATCTAATGGTTTGCACAATCCAATCGTGCGGTGACTCGAAGTCATGAGCAAGCACTCACATATTTCCAATTTGTTTAAAATAAAAAGTACAAAGTTGGGTGATTTATTAGTTGACTTAGGGTTGTGGCCCGTAACTATGCCTTGACAGTGACTTATTGTATATATGCAAACAATGCAATGCAGAAGACCAAGACTTTGTTTGGTCGACTCGGAAAGGGGACGAAGACTAACATTGCCCCACTTTCGGTCCTTTTCTTTTCTCCATGCAGAAAATATGCCTTTGGAATCTTAACTCTGAATCACATTCAGTGTGCTAAGATTTTGCTGGGGGCTACAGAATCAATTTTTTTTAATAAAGCTAAAAAAGCACATTGTTCTTTTTTGATTGTCTTTTTATGCCTAAAAGTTTTTCCAAATATGTTACAATCTTCTTTGCTGTAATTGTAAACACACTTTTCCACACTGGTTTAGCGGAAAGTTAAACCTTAGTTCACTACAAACGGGCCATGCAGCAGGGCGTGCATGGCAATGCTTGGAACATCAATGGAACCCTAGTTTTTCCATAGAAATTGCGTTAATTCATCAGCATTTTCAGTAAAGAAGGAAGCAAAACCAAACATGTTTCTTTGCATGCCAAGAAGCTTACGGCCTTTTGGTACCCTACTTGAATCCAATTTTATAGACTTAAAAACATATTTTAAGTTCAAAGTCAAAAACCTTGTTTGGTAGACCTATTTTTAAAAACTCACCCAAAAGAAAATAAAAAACTCTCCAAGTATCATAAATAAATAAATAAAAAGTTTTACATCTCTCTCTCTCTCTCTCCAAAACCACCGAAGCAAGTTCAAGCGGCGTCAATGAGTTGGAGTTGTTGTGCACCACCATAATTGATAGGGTTTATGTCTCACATCTTTTTTCTTTTCTTCTATTAATTTCAATTTGGGGATTAGGGTTTCTGATTTTATGATTTTAATTTAAATTTTTTTTAGATCTTAAAAGTAGTTTGGAGTTCAATACCAAACAAGTTTTTATATCTTACAATCACTATCCCTCCATTTGGATAAAGGAATTGAAAATTACATAGAATTCTACAATGACGGAATTTAAATTTCTATCATTTAAATTTATGGCAATTGAAGATTTCAATGTTTGAATTTATGTATTTCGAATGTTGTAAATGACATAATTTTGTAAATGGCACTATGAAAATTGTGAAATAACACCTAGAAATTAAACTCAGGAATTTGTTGCTCCAATTTCCACACTTTTTCTGCATGTCATTCAATAAATTCCGTGCGTAGTTGCCAAACAAAGAAATTGTCAATTTCTCATCTTAAATTCCCGACTTTTAGTTAAATTCTGAATTATTTCCCCCATCCAAACGGAGAGAAATAAAAACTCATGTTTTTAAAAAGAATTATAATTTTTTAATTTACTTTTTTTAGTAGAAAACCAAATCGGGCCTTAATTTGCTATGGACCAAAAAACTCAGCTTTTCAAATATTGTTTTTCTGAAACTGACACATGTCCAACTTGTCTAACTTCTCTAACCATAGTGTCCTAGCTAGCTAAGCTCAGCTCATGGTCAGACTCAGGCCCATGTACAATAGGGCAGCTAGCCGTCTCTCCTTAAAGCAAACACTCCTTTGGACGGTGGCTTTCTGCAGTTCTGTAGCTAACTTTACTACATATTTCAGTTGCTGTAAATACTAAAAAATTTATTGCATGCATGCCTTGCATGTGTAAGAGGCACACGGCTAGCTATGGCTCCATCATGATCCACAACATGCAAAGCACCGCCGAAAGAGTACTGCGTGCATATGTCCCATAACGTCATTTTCTTAGGCATGCAGTACCTTTACACCGAAAGCCAATCGACTGTCTCAGTCCGGCGCCCCCCTCCATTGAAGCAATAATGCTGTGTGAAGTGTGTGACCCATGCTAATGGCTCTATAGGCGTTTACTTTGCTCTATCTCTCTCAAATCACAAGCATGATGCATGCAGCTGCCGCAAATTTAATTAGAGCGGTTCATGCAATGCATCGGCCGAATTAATTATTGTTGAGATATGATATATGGGGAAAAAGTCATGAGAATTGCTTTTTTTCTTCTTTAATCCACTGTGCAAAGCTTCTTTATTTGACCTAATAATACTACGTGTGCATCATGCATTAAACATTAAAGTGCTTTTTATATGGAGGAATTCCCTTTTTGCCCATATGGAGGAATTCCTCCTTTACTACTAATGTGACTCAACGTGTCTCTCTTCATAAGAATA